AGGTCATTTTGCAGCACTTGGCACCTGCCTGATCTTTTCCTTTGATGAATTTATTAGAATGCATGCAAGCTACATGATTATAGTCAATGCAACTGTAGAGTAATAATATTTTATACGCATCTATGATATATGTTTATACAGAATCACAGAATGGCCTGTGTTGAAAAGAACTACAGTTCTCATCCAGCTCCAACCCCCTGCTGTGTGCAGGTCACCAACCAGCAGCCCAGGCTGCCCAGAGCCACATCCAGCCTGGCCTTGAATGCCTGCAGGGATGGGGCATCCACAGCCTCCTTGGGCAGCCTGTTCCAGTGCATATATGTAATATATGCATAAATTACATATATTGTCTGAATCTGAAATTGCATATATGCACATTTTCTAGTTTCTGTGCAAAGTGTACAGAATTCCAAGTTCACAGTTTCAGTCTAAGACTCTTCTTGCCCTGAACTTCTCATTGCTCTGCCATACTTCACCACCAGCCAGGTATTCCTTGACAGCATTATTTATGGGAATAGTCCCACCAAACTGCCCTGCAGAACTGCAATTCATTATTGATTTAAGAGAAGCATGTGTATAATTAAAGCATTCTTTTCTGAGGTCGATTTGTAGTCCAAAGATTACTCACAGGGGTTGGGATGCTCAGAGCAGCCCAATATTTCTGAAATTAAAAAAAAACAAATAAACAACAACTGGGTGGTGATATATGTGCTGCCCAAACCATAGCAGCCCCAGGCACAACTCCAGGCACCTCCATCCCAAGCCCAGCCAGGGACAAGCAGACCTTTGACATTATACCACACTCCAACACCCCAGAGGAAGTTCTGGGCTGTGAATTGTCGATGGAGATGTGCCCACCATTATCCTGATATGTTCATGGAGACACTGTCTGAGCTTATACCATAACCTTTCACACGCTGAAAGGCTCTCTACTGAGAAAGCAGAGAGTACCTGTTTCTGCTCTGAGCACTACTAACAGCTTACAGGTACACCTGCAAGAAGCAGACGTGTTTTGGCTTCAGCTGATCATGTAGAAGCTGTTGGAAACAGGTGAATGATACCTCCTAGATAAACCCAAGGTATTCATAACTGAGCAGAAGCATTATTATTTGGTATTGAACCCCCTGTGAAGAACCACGCTTTACAAGGTCACTCTAAAACATGAGCAACAATCCCAATGTTAAGACATCCTTCTCTTTGTAAGGGGATAATCACAACCATTCCTTCCACTGTCCTGCAGTGCAGCTTCCTGCATGGATGAGATCTTGGCTTGTTTGTGCACCAGCAGACCTGCAAGCAGCTGAAGGCATCCTCAATGCATCATAATCTGCACTAAAGCAACAAATACCTTCCTTACCCAGACAGCTCACTGTGGAAAGGCAGGGAGTGCACATCACAACTCACTTTTGACACCAGCATGAGTTAAAGGTTACCTCATGGAGCACTGCACTACCTGCTAAGGCTGTGGGACCGCAGCAAGATAACAGAGAATTCTGAATAATAATTGAAAACTCCGTGCTGAAATCAATGCTATTAGACTATATCGATGTAGTTGTTTCTTTTATCTATAAGGCACAATTAAAAAACTGACCTTTACACAGATCTCAAGTGTCATTCTCATTGCGAAGTTCACATATGTCAATGCCTGAACTGAAAATTGCAAACATGCAAGAAAAGCACCCCCTGTTAAGGTGCTCAGGAGCTCATTTCCAAAGCGTGTTTTCTATTAAACAAAACAACACACAGTCTCCAAAAAGGCTCTCAGTGAATTGCCAGCTCAGGGTGGGCTCACAGAGCGCAGTGATGCCAGCTTCCTACCAGCTGTCCCTCCACAACAAGTCAGCCTTCACCATTGACTCTGCCATCTCCCCCCCATGTCACAAACCTCAGCCACCACCTCTGTGTTCTGCAGAAACAGAGCTGAGCAGATGGGTATGTGAGGCAGAAAGCAGGGTAGCAAAGCAACAAACTTGTGCTGGTATCTATTCTGGCTCCTAGCATGGATGTCTCAGCATGACTTAGTGCCCAGAGTGGCAGAGAAGGGCTCTTTGCTTGACTTATCCACCCGTTATATGCATATAAATGACCTTGAGAGTACTTTGAAATGGAGTTTCACAGCACACTTTTGGTACCAAATAATACACAGAGCTTAGATTAGTCTCAAAGCAATATTCGTCCATGAAAACAAAGCTGCAAATGTGACATTGCCTGCTTTTAAGGAGCTTCCCTATTCCACCCCAAAATACAGTGACTCAAAATGACAGCATGCCCCATCCATCGCTGTGTGGGCCTTTGTGTTCTCCAGGAAAAACATGCTTGAAGAACATAAACAGAAACCACTGCTGTAGAGGTGTGCCAACCCTCAGATCATTCCCAAGCTCAGTGCATCATTTAAGCCCCTGTACCTCATTCAACTGCCAGTTCTGCTTACCCACGACTGATAATCACAGAAACACAGGGGTTGGAAGGGACCTCCAAAGGTCACTACGGCCAGTCCCCAAATTATAACTCATTTTTCAGATATGATGCAAGCTGCTTCACACAGTAATTGAGATACTGAAGCACTACCTGGTTATTTAAAGTACAGTCAGGCTTTGGTCTTGTTGCCTCAGCAAGAGTGGAGTGGCAGTCCTGGTGTTAAAACCACCATGGAGAAGGAGTGAGCAGAGCCATGAGGGATTCTGCCAACACGAGGCAGGGCAGAAGAAGCATCAGCAGCTGGAATGGGGAAATAGAGGAAAATGGTGAAAAATAAGGGAATAATTCCCCAAAATGCCAGCACTGACCTGAGTGTGCTGATGGGAGCACTGCAGTGCATGCTGTTAACATGAAAGAAATGCCTCCTCCCAATTAGTAGATCCAAAGGCTGAGGACCTCCCCAGCCCATCGAACTGCTGGAAGCATTGGTGTTAATTAAATAACGAGGAATAGAGGGAAGCAGTTGCTTGTCAGGAGGGCAGCTGCAGTGTCCGTGGATTCAGTTCCCTCACCCACTGCAGGGCTGCCTCCAACCTGGGATTAATTCTCATGCTCTGAACTGCAGATAATGAATTGACTTCAGGCCCAGGTGCAAAACGCAGCCCAGAGAAACACAATTTCTGCTCAGATTCAGACCTAACGGAGACCAGAAACCAGTACATAAATGAATACCTGTTACTTTAAAAGAGCATTATTTGATTTGCCTAAAGGTGACAGAAAAGGAGGGTGATGGGGTATGGCAACGTGCCACAAGATGCATGATAGATTATAGCCCTACACTGTGTTTATTTGAACAAATGTTGTGACAACCCCCAGAAATTTGATTAGATGTGTATTTTTTGCTTGTTGTGCAACACGGTATCATTTCATGTCCTCTTGGAGGACACAGACAATCATTTATCAGAATTAAGTGCACGCACTAATAAAATCATTTTCTATTACTCCACATTATGAAAACATTTGTTTTAATTTGATGAACTGCCTGCTGTAGTATCTCCACAAAGCAGAAGAGCTGGTGCATTCTGCTCTCAGCTCTCCCATCTTTGGGTGCTTAGTTGTATGTTCAATATATACATACATATATTCCCATTTTGTGGATGCTGGCGCGCTGTGCTGAGCTGTACCAGCTGATCAACCCTTGTAGCAGTTCTGTAAGAGGACACAGCCCACATAACTGCTACTTTGAATGATTTTTCACCCCTCTACGAGAGGGATTTAAGCCAGAAAGCACCTGCGCAGCCCCACATGTAGATGCACAACCCTACATGTGGCTAAAGGCAATTTGATCAAAGAGAAATCTCCCAACTGTTCAGTTCTTTACGTCGAATGTTAACTAAAACATCACGGGGCAAAACTGCAAAGGTTTGCAGAAGTGAAAGGTCAACTGCATTTTAAGAATAATTACATTGCTAAAGAAAAGGGTGTCTCAAAGAAAAGAGTGAAAGCATATTAAAAAACATTCCCCTCCTCTCTAGTTCACTTTTTTCTTCTTTAAATAATGGACACATCCAGAGTTTTCTTTTGATGCCTTCTTTGGAGAAGCACCACAAGCACCCAGCATCATGGGCATAGCAAATCACATCACCAGTTGATGAGCCACAGCCACCCCATCTGCTGCTGTCACTGCGTCCTCCCCACTCTCAACCTTCCTGCAGGAGACCATAAACACATGCCACCACATCTCAGCCTTCCCAAGCAGCTCTGGGTGACTCCACCAGCCCTTAGGAAGGACCTAAGGAAGGCTAGTAGAGTTGTTCCATGCAACAAGATGGCAAGGAAGGACTGCACCCAATAGCTGCAGCAAGATCTCACAGTGGATATGTGATAGCCAGCATTATGGGCTGGCTCATTAAAAGGCATAATTAAAGACAGCCACCTCCCCTGTTAATTACAGCCAGCAATTAAGCCTAGGTACTGAATGCAATACACCTCAAAAAATACTGAGCCAAGAAGGAGCCTCGCCTGGGTAATGATTCCTGCCTCATCAGACACCGGGGTGTTCATCCCAAGCCCTTTGGAGGTCTCTTTCCTCCTCCAGGACATCTCCATCTTCACATCCATCTTCCCAGGCTGGATGTGGCTCTGGGCAGCCTGCTCTGGTGGTTGGTGACCCTGCACATAGCAAAGAAGGGGAAACTAGAAGCTCATTGTGGTCCTTTTCAACCCAGTCCATTCTATGATTCCATGACCCATCTCGTGCAGGAAAAGCATTGAGAGCATCCCATGCCTCGACTCAGTGCCTGCAGTCCCAGGGCCACCTGCCCACATCCCATACCTCAGACCCCAGGCAGGGGATCCAACCACCCCCAGCACAGCCTGCAGGGATGAGGGAAATCAGGCAGCTGCAAAGAAACCTTTGTGCAGATGGCGACAAGACAGAAGATCACAGAGCTGGGAGATGAAATACATCAATCACACAGCTGAAGTGTTTGAATTTACACATGTTTTCCTCTGTGCATGAAGAGAAGTGAGGAAACAAAACAATTCTAGTACTTCCAGTACTAATTTTAATTGTTGCCCATAATAGTTTGCAAAATAGAGAGATCTGAGCCGGGCTTGAGTGAACTGTCTTATGAATCTGCACGTAGAGTGTAGATTATGGAAAGTTAAAATTACATTGCTACAATTTTCTGATTAAAAACCTAGAATTTAATTACTATCAGCATCCGACCAACGTTCCCAGACGACTTTTTATCTTTAAGCAGTTTTGGATCAGATTTTCTCTAGTCACTTCACCACCCACAAGGTTCCATTGAGAAAGTCAGAACAGCAGCACACGTCAATGCAGCTCCAGGTCAGGAGAAGAACTCCAGCATACATCCCAGCTCCTAAAGCAGAGCCCAGCTCAACTTCTTGTAACAATTCCCCCACCTATGCCTACGGGCCAGACTCCATCAGCCTCTGTAAGTGAAATATTGAATTAACAAACAGTGTTTGCAGTAGTTTGCCTAATTTAATAATTCCATTAAAAATTACAAGCCCATACTTACTTGCACCCATCAAATTAAGGCAAAAGAGGTGAAACGCCTGCACAGCACCTAGCAGAAGCTCAGTCTTCAGGCTCTCCCCCAGGTACCACTCAGCACAAGGCAGCTCACCATCCATCCAGCACAGGTACTAACTGTGTCTGCACAGCTGATGATGCAAGGGCAGCAAACTGCTTTTCAGCACTTGCAGAAGACTTGTGGTTAACCTAGGATATAAAAAAAATTAAAATTAAAAAAAAAAAAAAAAAGCCTTCATATTATTGCTCTGGAATTTATAGTCCTTCTGGCACTGCATGTTGGCATCTACTAACGGCTCTTGACAGCACAAGGAAATAGTCTGAATTTTTTCCAGCACTCTTAATGTACACAAAAATTTGTACCTATTTGCTACAACTGAGTCCAAACGGTTCCAGTTTTCAGGTCATTACTCCTCGCTCAATAAATCCAATGGAACACATCACATCATTACAGCCTACCTGCTTGTTTGCCAGCTGCTACCCATGGAAAGGGGATGTGAGGGTGCCATTAAGCGAGGGCTTCTCACCTTAACATCCACAGTGGTTTGGCACACATCAGCCAGGCTCAGAAGCAAAGCCTTTAAGGTTTAAATAATTTATTTCAGTGAGGCTATTTCTAATTAAATACTTCAGTGAGATTTAGGTTTAGCTCCTCAAAAAAACCTTTGCCATAAGGTAATGCAGCAGAACAAGTGGAAATTGAGAAAAAGAACATTGAAACCAAAACGTAACATAATTTGTGTAAGAGTACTGTACAAAAGGCCTTGCAGGACTGTGAACAGGAGCCTCCGTGCATGTTGGCCCTGCAGCATGCTCTCAGAACTCCTAGGATCCGTCTGAATGTGCTCCTCTGCGTTTGTCCTTCAGGATTATGAACTAGGAACCACTGCAAATGAAAGTCACAATCTGGTCTGCTCTTCAAATCTTTATCAGAGTATCTTGTCCCACATCAGCATCCCTGAGCTGGAAGAATAGCAGGAAGCACCACTGCAGGAAGTTCTACTGAAGATGGTTGTAGGGAAAGGTGATGCCAGAGATGCTAAATTACCACAAAAAAGGGCAACAGTCACAATCTGGTTAAAAGAAGAAAGAAAGATTTGCTTATCCATCCCAATGATCAGAGCTCACCAAAAACTCCAAAAGGAGAGATCTCCAGGTAGGCATCCTTTCCTTGTGGCTGTCAGCCCTTAAATGTGGTCAGGAAGGGGTGGAGACAGGGTCCATCCCTTGCAGTCACAAGGTTAAATTGCTTCCACCTGTGCTCCCAGGGAGGTTTATCCCTTCACTAGATGCTCAATCACTGCTTCAGGCCGTGGCTAAGCAAATCCCATAGAGTGGTCTTTAATCTCAGAGATATGGCCAACACTTGTTCTGCTCTCTTCCTTGGTCTGCTACACAGACATGGGGAGCAGAAGGCTGCAAATGCTGCATCTCCCAAGAATTAAAAAAAAAAAATCTACTACCAGAAATCCTTAATTTCCCTATAGAAAATAAAGGATGTAAATGGGATTTTATTTGAAGGAATCTTAATGAGTTTATTATGAATTATCATTTTCTGATACTGTGTTATCATCCCCAAACTACTCTCACAGTCATATTCATCAGAATAGACCCCGCTGTTCATACAGAAGCCCACTGAGACCCCAGAAGGCCAGCTGCATAGATCTGAGCACGTGCAGCCTGTGTGCTTGCTTCAGAGCATGCTTTTAAATGGAGGGTTTCCATTTTGTGGTGGAGCTTTGATTAGTCTTTTAGTTTTGTGTATGTTTTTAGTTTGGATTCTGCCTTAATGAAAACAAGCATTTTTCAGTTTAAAAAATACCAAAAAAAAAAAAAGAAGAGGAGAGAAGGGTAAAAAGTTGCAACAATGTGAATTTCAAAAGCACGTAAGGCAAAATCACTCCTGGCAATGACAGCAGTAAATTTCTGGAGGTGGTCACCCATAAAGAGTGAGCAAACTCAGCATTTCGGGGGATTATCATAGAGTGGTTGGACAGGGTCCCAAAAAGCCTGATCCCAAAAAGTCAACCCTGTGCTGAGCAGAGGATTACAACGGATGATCACAGCGCCAGAGGCTGCTCCAGGCAGGCCAGGCTCCCAAACTGGGCTGGGATGGTTGAGGGGGACCAGCGGATTTCACGGCTTGTTGTAGGGGAATCCAGCTGGGAAGAATCCAAATGGGAAGAGCTGCCCCAAAACATGTTGGTTTTGTCACGCTGTCAGGACGCGATAAAAAGCTGCTGCTTCAGAAAACTTGGTTTTGCTCATTGGTTAGAATTAGGTTTTATTAGCGTGGTGGCTGGATGAGTTTCCAGGTTATTCAGGGAGTTGGATACGGGAGCTAAAAAAATTATTTTACTTGTTTAGAGATTGCACAAGACAGACTTATAAGAAGAGGTGATATATTGCTGTGGCGCTGAGAAGTCCCACAACGGCAGTGACTGCGGATACTGGAGCCCCAAATCCCTCATCTCCTCCATTGCTCTGGAAACAAAACTTAGCCCAGCACGCTGCTCACGCCATCAGCCTGACGCTGAAGATGGAGCTTTTAAAATGTCAAAAACCAATAAGAAACAGTTACTTACCCACCTTCTCACTGTGTTATATCTGGATTTAACACAGTGGTTATCCCTGTTTTGGGTGCAATGAATATTATTTGACAAGTTGAGGTTGTTCCGTTTCTGGGTGTTTTTATGGAAATACTTCTCCCCAGTAGAGCTGGGATTGAAGTATTCTAGTATTAAATGTTAATTTAATTAAATATCTAAATATTAAAGTATTCTAGTATTAAGTGTGGAGGTTGGTGGCCCTGCCTGTGGTGGGGGGTTGGAGCTTGATGATCCTCGAGGTCCCTTCCAACCCAAGCCAATCTATGGTTCTGTGATGCTATAGAAGAGCAGCTTTTGCTCTGGTGTGTACTTCTGTGTCCTCCAGGAAGCTGCTTCCTTCTTAACTCCGGAGATTGACTTTTATTAGAGAGGCACTGAAACATAGAATATTTTCTCTCAATCTCTTGCCATTCTCCTTAATATGCAACAACAGAATGGCACCTGAACACAAATAAAAATATATTGCTTCAGATGAGTAACTTTTGTCTGGAGAAGAGAAGGCTGCAGGGTGACCTCATTGCAGCCTTCCAGTACCTAAAGTGCCTACAACAGGAGAGGAGTCATCTCTTCACCAGGGTAGATAACAGCAGAACGAGGGGAAATGGTTTTAAGATGAAGGAGGGAAGATTTATGTTGGATGTCAGAGGGAAGTTCTTTGCTATGAGAGTGGTGAGGTGCTGGAACAGCTGCCCAGAGAGGCTGTGATGCCCTGTCCACCCCTGGAGGTGTTCAAGGCCAGGTTGGATGGGGCCCTGGGCAGCCTGGGCTGCTATGAAATGGGGAGGTTGGTGGCCCTGCATGCGGCAGGAGGTTGGAACTTCATGATCCTTGAGGTCCCTTCCAACCCGGGACATTCTGTGGTTCTATGGTCCTTTAGGAATCTCACCCTGCTGCACTCTGGCTCTTGTGAGTGATGGCACTGTTGTTTCCATTAATCCTTCAGAGGATTAACAGCCAAGGAGGTGCTCACATTCACACACCATTGCCATGTCAAGTAAATTATCATATTTATCACGTGTGATATTATTGTCTTCAGGAGATTGCCTCATCTGTCTAAAAAACACTTTAAGCATATGACACCAACAGAGAGCGAGCTTTGGTTCCCTTCAAGCTGCGTTATTGATAATTGCAGTGTTTATATTCCAGCTCGGACCTTTCTGACCGAGGATGAATTTGTTATGAAAGAAGCAATAGCAATAACTTCCCATTGCACAGTGCTGGCAGAACAGTACCCAAAATGCCATCTCTTGGGTGGAATGTGTTTGGAATTACAACAGCAAGAGTGAGGCACACAACCCTGTGTAAGGAGCATCTGCAGTTAAACGAATTATCTTGCAGACTGAAAGACGAGAGTACCAGCTAGGATGAGGTTGCAGTTATAATAAGAGAAAATGAAAATAATGTAATTTGCTGAGAGGAGAATCAAATGGGTGATATGCAGACTGTACTGCAGCCTCCTCCACCCTGTCTGCAGGCATTTCGCTTACACCTCCCGCAATTTAATTTCCTCTGTGCTCTTTATGGACAAAGAGGCAACATCAGAGCCACTTAGAGAAATTGGAATGCTGAAGACCTAAACACAGCTGCTGCAGATAGAATCATGGAATTGCTCAGGTTGGAAAAGACCTTAAAGACCATCAAGTCCAACCACAACCTAACCATCCTACCCTAACTCTAACAGCCCTCCACTAAATCACATCCCTGAGCACCACATCCGAATGGTTTTTAAACACATCCAGGGATGGTGACTCAACCACTTCCCTGGGAAACCTACTCCAGTGCTTAACAACCCTTTCCCTGGTGCTGGGAACTGCAGCACAGTGGCTGCTCTGGTCCTGAAGTGCATCACCTCAGTGATGTCAAAAGCTATTGTGAGTTCTCCATCACTGCCTCAGATCTTATGTCCTCCCATTGTGAAAGGCTCAAGGAAATGCTCACCCAAATGGACAAGAGTTTGTCTGGCTCTCAGTTCAGACATGAGCATACAGCTTGGAAATGCATTTTATTGTTTTCCTGCTGCAGCAAGTAAACCTCTCTTTGCACACGTAGTCCTGGAGGAGAACCACAGAATCATAGAATCATTAAGACCCTCTGAGACCCCCCAGCCACCCCTACTGTGCCCACTGCCCACCTCCCTCAGTGCTACATCCCCATGGATGTGAACATCTCTAGGGATGGAGACTCCCCCTCTCTCCAGGGAAGCCCCCCAGGGTGCATGCAGGCACCATGGATCACCACCAGTGCCCTAACGGCACAGCCAGCCCTCCAACCTGTCGGATCACTTAGAAATCAATAACAAATGGAGATGAATCTACTTACAGAACAGGATGCTTTTCCCTGACTAATACGCTCTGCCTTCAAAGCAAACAGTTTTTACTGCACCTCTAACTATAAACAAATTTTTAGTCCATAAACAAATTTGCTGTGCTGAGCACAGTCAACAGAGACAAACTGAAGAACAAGTAAACAGTTTATATTTGCCTTTTTCTTAAGCAGAGCCCTTCCCTCTGCCCACCAGTTGCACTGACAGCAAGCTTTCTACCCATCACCGTGCAGCCCTACACATAACACCTCCTGAGCACAACCACCCCCTGAGCACAAATTGACCATTAACCCAACCAAATGCCCACCTTCCTTTCTTTTCTTACTCTATTTATATAAATGAGACTAATTAAAACACCTTCAGTGTTAGCACTCACTTGTGACAAGGTTGGTTCAGCTGCTGGGGAGATGATGGTACCACCATCAGTGCTAATTAGATGATGAACTGGTGATGGCAGAATGCAGAACATTGCTCTGCTCCCTCCTCACCACACACCCGGCACAGTCAAGCAGAAAGGCCCTGGGGGGCAGAGACCAGAGACACAGGGCTGATGTCAGATGGATGGCTGGAGATACAGCATCAGGAACAAAAGGGATTAATTAGGCTAAATGGCATCATTCATGCCAAGGAATTTAAATTGCAGAGCTAATTGAGGTAATTGCTTGAACAACTTTAGTAATTTATGTTCTACAGCAAACCTGCTAAACCTCCACCCCTATGAATTTACTACTATTATCCTTTGTTAAATGATAGCAAACATTCTCATAAAAAATGCTGCAAAACACTTTCTTTAAGAATTTTATGAATCTTCATGTGAAAAACTGAGCAGGCATTGTAAGCAATGGGCTGGTATTCTACTGCACTGTGTCATTTTTGGAGGTGGGATTTATGGGACCAGCCACCGCAGACTCTGGCTTCTAGATACAAGTGCATCCACTGTGGGACAAATCCTTCTTTTCTGCAATGCACTCAGCTTCCTGATGACATCCTTTCTGCTAAGGCTGGCTGCTCAGAAGCATGAAGCTTGGGCAAGGGTGCAGTGCCAGGCTGCTGTGCTGACTAGCAATAGGTACCTCTCCCCATCCCCACAATCTCTTCTTCTACCTCTCCCCATCCTCACAACCTCTTCTGGGTGACACTGGCACAATGCAGTGGGTGAGATAACTGATGTTTTCCTCCAGGTGTCCTGTTGATGTGGTGATAGGAGATCTTCAGGGTCTGGGAA